AAGACATGTGCAGAGCCATCACGGGTTCCTCCTGCAGAACCGCAAGTCAACCTGACCACGATGCCATCAGGTCTGCCTACACCACCCGACATTGGTGTTGCCTGCTCCTTAGTACGATGCGGTATGCTGGGATTCATACAGCTCCCCATGGTGGAGCCGAAGCAGAAGAAATAAGTCAAGTCTCTGCTCAGCCTGTGCAAGTGGCTGGCGCTTTGACCGCCCTCGTGCCGTGGGTGAACAGGAAGCACACCATCTGGCTGGTTTTGATACTCGTGTGCGCCTACCTCGATGCAGTGGAAGATCAAATCGTGGGGATACCATGGCTCCCTTACTGATGTATGTCCCCGTGGTCGCGCCAGATGATGGAAGACAGCCGCCGTGATCAAAACCCCTCAGCACCTACGCTTACATGGGATTGCGCCAGGGAACCACGGATGCCATTCGAATCTATTTAACGGATGACGAGGGACGCCTCGTGCCATTCCAGACTGGGAAGACCATCGTGACACTTCATTTCCGCCCCGCGCCGTCTGGAGTGCGTTCTGAGAATCAGCATGGTAGGACATCAGTGTATCAGACTCGCAGAGCGCAGCGGTTTGGGTGGACAGCAGCGAGGGAGGCAGCTTAGCCGCAGTAACCGAGGACGCATTCATCAACGAGGGAGAGGTTTCGTAACATCTTGGGAAACTTGGGACGCTCAGCTCTCCATCCTCAAGACGGTGGGAAAATCAGCTCTCAAATCAGGTGTCAAGATGTTGCCGGATTGGTGCAAGATATCCGCTCAGGACACCCGAAGTGCGGGGACAGTTTGAAACATCATGGGAAACAAGCCTTACTACGCCACCTTGGCGACAGCACCCACCACCAGGATCACCTGCTCGCAAACCGTAAAACGGAAACAGTCCGTGGGATCCACCAAGAAACGAAACCCTTGTTTTGAGAGAAAGAGATAAAGACCCACCCGATGAGAAAAGGAGTTCAGTTCAACACCAGACACCGTGAGGGTCAAGACCTGTTGTGCAGACCTGTGGTCCAGATCAGCTGTCAAGATGATGCGCCGAGATGCCTCGCGAATGCTCCAAGGCCCAACTGGATCTCTTTTCTGTGCCCCTGTGGTGACGTCCGGTCCAAGAAGGTCAGTGGATTCGATACAGCCCTCTGGCACCCCTTCGGTCAATGGGCCCCCTCAATTTAACATTGCTAACCCTGTGAATGCCTACATCGATTTGAGCCAGTGTTACCTCCGTGATCTGCCTCAAAATCAAGAATGCAGATGGTACTTAATGCAGTTCATGAGAGGCGATGGGCACTCGCCGCGGTCCACGGTGAACAACATGATGCATTCCCTCTTTCGTGAAGTGCGTGTACAAGTGGGACACAACCAACTGGAAATTACTCCCTTCCATGGGTACCTATCCCTACCGAGCCTATTTGGAAACGCTGCTGAGTTATGGAAGGCAGCCAAAGGGACCCATCTCCAGTGTCCAGGATGGTACACCGGATGAAGCTGGAAAAATGGATCACTTTAATGCTGGCTTCAGAATGCCAACGCCGGACTTGTCGACGACGAGGGTCATTCTACCCACCGAGACGGAACTGACAGGACGCCTCCACTGTGACCTGTTTCTCCAAGACCGTACCTGGTGGATGGAGTCCCCATGAAACTAGAACTGATTCGCAGCCCAAGTGATTTCTACTTGATGAGTGCTGGAGACGCCGAGTGCCGATTTGAACTGACCAAAGCCGAAGTTTTACGTCGCCAAGTCAACATTGATCCTGCCATACCGGAACAACACGTGAAACACATGTCACCAGGAGTCACGGCCAAATATCCTTTGACCCGAGTCCAAGTCACAGCCCACTTACATCTCAGGAGGAGGACGCGATTTCCACAAAGATCAACTGATTGGAGGCCAACTGCCCAAACGAAAGTGGTGTTGGGATTGGTGGACAATGATGCTTTTGTCGGCAGCAAGGAAAAGAACCCTTACCATTTCAAGCACAACAACGCGACCAGTCTCAAGCTGAAACTCAATGGGCAAGAAGTGCATGGCACCGAAATCAAAAGCGACTTTCAGGACAACAGTGCCTCGCCAAACAGTTGTACATGAACCTGTTCCATAACACGGGACACCTGTGGCAAGAACATCCCTGCAACCTCACCCTGGATCTTAATTCAGGAACGGATTCACCGCGGTGGGTGGTGGATCTGACGGGCGGATCTGGGCAGATGAAGGGTATAACTACCTACTCATAGACGGGCAAGTTGGGACTTGAACTTCAGTTTGCAGAACCCCTACCACGCTCACCACGCCATTTCGCCTGCTACGAGGAATCACGAAGCCGCTTTTGGAAATTGATCGGTTCAACGCTCTGATGGTCTAAGGATGGATCGACGACAGTGGCTTGACGACCAGGCACTTGAACGCTTTCACGTTACAACAGGATCCCCTGCTGCGACCCCTCTACCAAGGTACCTTTGCCCGAGATCACTTTGCCACCACCGCGTTGTGTGAACAGCAGGAGGGACATTATCCTAAAGCCTACATTGTCAACACGGACCCCAGCCATCTCCCAGGACAACACTGGGTGCGCGTGTATCGTCCAGTACCTGGTGCCATGGACTACTTTGACAGTTATGGGCTCCATCCCTATCAACAGCATCCAGACTTTCGAAATGTCATGACCTTCGCCGGATGGCTCCAACAACGGTGGAATGGCCAATCACTTCAACCCTGGTTCAGTGCCTCTTGTGGAATGTACTGTTTGTATGTACTGGCTCATCGTGCCCGTGGATGGTCTTTTGACGAAGTGATGGAACAGTTTGATCCCTACGATACCCTCGTCAATGAAGAACGTGTAAGACGTTGGTTTCAACCCGCACGCCTGACAGACAACAACGCTGACCATGATCCACACCCCTGCCAAAGGACACAACCTTATCGTTCTGATGTGATGATGTTACAGTTCTGATGTTACAGTTCTAATGTTACAGTTCATACCGTTTGTAAACAAAAGATCAGGGACGCCTCTAATCCTGTCTCTTTGTCAAAGTGTTCTTGTTAGGGGAAATAAAACGTTTGAAAAATGTCAACCTAATGTTGTTATTATTGTTGTTGGCATTGAAACGAACCTTCTTTTGAGAGATGGATGGCCCTGAAAGGGCCGCTTTTCGAGTGTACTTCACCCAGGGACCACAGTGGGGTCATACATTGGCAGGGATGGATGGTCATCTTTGTCTTGACGGGCACTTGCTCCCATGGGTCAAGCGCCGATGTACGCGTGTCCTTCAAGACAGTGCCACAGTACACACATTGGAAGGTACCACGATAGTCATCAGTCCCATTAGCATAAACAGGCAGGCAGCCATGACATCGTTGACACTGCCATGCCGGTAAGGAGGGTGGCGATGGTGCCTCCAAGGGTATCAGCTCTAACTCCCCAGTTCTCCATTCTGTCCATTGTAACACTGCTTCGGTCATTCCGCCATCCTATATAGTGAGAGCTCACGATCATGACGCCAGCGGTGCCATCGCCATGACCCTCACGTAGCGACCATGATCGCCACCGACTACGCCATTACCCTCACGCTACGACCATGACGCCATCGATACCATCGCCATCGATACCACGCCATCGCTGTCTGGTCGCCCATATATAAACTCCAGCATGGGTCAGTGAGAGCTATCTTCATGCAACATGAATACAAGAAAAGTAGAAGTCATGCGACCGACGCCTTTACAGGAAAAATTGTGGTAGGTAGCAATGCTCACGATGCAGCCCTACCTTACAAGAGAAGGCTGACATCAAAAGGGAAGAGACAGAAGCAGCGGCAGCCCCACCATCCACGGCAGTACCACCTCCGCCACGGCATGGCAATGTCTACCACCCAATTGGAAGTTCATTATATGCCAAACGTGTTGGAAAGCCTTGCCGTCCAACCAATTTGATGTCACCCCAGGTGCACCGTACTCACGTGTGTACCTACTATGGGCGGCGTCCGCAAAGGGGCTAACCATCTCCACGGCCGAAGTCTGCCCCGGAAATTTATTTTTCCGGGCCTCGACCTGCTCTGTCTATGTACCATCGCCACCACAAAGTGAGGTCTCACCTTCCGCCCATACCATCACAACGGCCCTTTTCAGGGCCACCCACCTGGCTCGAAGAATGCTCCATCCAATGTTGTTTTAAACCACACACACACACTAACACTTGTCTAGCCACGCCATCGTGTCCGCCTCACCCTCTCTCCCTCCCTTCCTCTCCTTTTCCTCTCCTTCCCTTCCTTCCCTCTCCGTCCCGTCCCGTCCGCAGCCCGTCCGTCTCTCGGCCATCTTGAAGCGTCTACGCCATGAGATCGCGAGAATCCACGCGAGATCTCGCGAGATCTCACCCGATCCACCGGATGGGACGCCATCTTGAAACGCGTCCACCATCTTGGCCGGAGGTGACGCCATCGTCATGCGCTACAACCACCGAACCGGACGTGATCGCCATCATCGCTGATATGCGTCGCATTCCACGGAACCGAAGCACCGGAACCGAACCCGAAAGTGATCTCCCTGACCGGAGTGACTGATCCAAGATGGCAGCGCCCTATGGGCGCCGCCATCTTGAAAATGATCCCAGGGTAACGTTGCACACTACTTTGATCAAACAACTTCTGAGCACGACTGGCATGACGCTCTTTGAAATCTTGATAAAAAGAGCATACTAGATTGTATCTCAAAAGTTGTGAAATGTGAACACCAAACCCATACTCACACCATCCCTACAATACACCAACCCACACCAATCATATCACCCCTAAACCACACAACACCCCACAACACATCACCCCCAGACCCAAACACCACAGCATATCCCCACATCACACCAAACCAACACATCACACCAAAACACACCACATCACATCACATCACTTCCCACCCTAGACATGCACACAACAAACCTGAAGTCTGTCTGACACTAACACTGACTATATACAAGTAAACAAGTTGCATATTTCTCAAGTTTATTTACAAAGCATGAATGACAGTCTAAAAGATGCTAAACAAGTAATTGAAATACAATCTTGTAGCAAAACAGTATAAACAACCTAAAATATGCATTACACAAGCTTGTTGTTTCACACAAATTATACAACACTTCATAAAAGTTGGTTTAAAATAGTCTAAAACAGTTTTAAGAAAGGATTAGTCTATACAACTTCCAAAACATATATTTAAATGTAGGAAAATATACACATCAAAACAGACAAAGAATTGTCTCTTTAATTGTCAAGAGTATTGAAAAAATAGATGTTTTGGAAAACAATATTCCCCCTTTTTAAGGTGAACTACCTAAAGTACCTAGTTAACATTATTTCACTGATATTTTCCTCAGGCTGAATATGACAATATGAGGACATTCATCCAATGCCAGCCAATTGTGCTCCTTCTTTTGTCAAAAGTATGTAAAACATGACAAATTTTACAATTGTTTCTATTTAAAGAAAGAAGAGCTCTTAAGTGTACACAAGAAGGAAGTGGTCGGACAAGAGATGTTACAGTTGCATTGTCATTGTAAAACAAAAATCATACTTGGAAAAACTGAATATTGAGAGATACAGGATGAGTGCATACTGACTAATACACTTCCTCACCCACAGCAGGATCTTGGGACCCTGTTGTCATGGTAACAGGACATAAAAAGATCCTACTAACATGGCCAGTGAACCAGAACCCTTTTGCTAGTCATACCACTGACTGACTAAAACACTGGGATGACCAATCAACATTACCATGAAAAACAGAAGTTTTGACTTACACAGGATACATGTATATATTACTAATGGTATTGAAAACTATCCTGACTATTACGAAGTTGGCAAATACTGATTATGTGAGTGTTATAAATATATGCAAGGACGGGCAGATTGATAGAAAACAAACAGAAGAATTCAAACACTGTGACAGCCTTATTGTGGCCATCAGAGCATAATTTTCAACCATAATTTTCAACTATATGTGGAAATGATTATGAAAAACAAATAATTTAGCCTATCTATTGCCATTTTCTGGTTTCACCAGCTGTTTCTGACTTACCAAATCATTTTTCTTCCATGAACTATTTCAACATAACAATTAAATATAATGATAAGTCAAAGGAAAACGTTATATTTCTTTATTTGTGCAATACATATTTTATCACATACAAACCAAACATCATCCACAACTGAGGGGTTGTGTCAAGAGCTTACACATGATATTAAAAGTTCCTGTTTTGTTACAGGCAAGCTGGTACAATTGTATACATTTTAAAATTTTGGGTTTTGTTTCTAAAACTGAGCACAGTCTGCCACATTATGCAAAGAGTGGTTGCCATGGTGACAGTATTGTTCGAAAATTTCACCACTTTAACCACTGGGATACCTCATCGACCCTGAACTTTTGACACAACCCCTCATGTTAAAGAAAGGCACTGGATATCATAATGAGTCACTGCTTGTAGGATATCATAATGAGTCACTATTTGCAGGATATCATACTGTCACTATTTGAAGGATATCATATTAAGTCTATTTGATGTACCGGTAGTTTGTTATTGCACTTAGCAGTTAGTTCCGATTCAGAGATGCACAACAGGATAATGCATGTTTTATATGAAATACTAACTGCAAGAAAAGCATCATTCAAAGGCACTTACAGAAATCATATGAAGATCAACCTATCAAACTAATTTTATTTGATCTTCACTAAAACAATTCTATTTTTTTGCATATGGCTAATAATATACATATTTGGAAAAAAAACAACTCATATATATATATATATTATGTCTAAATTGAATATAAAAGTCCACAAAGGAACATATTGTTTATGGAAACCCACTTGCCATACATATTGTCTTGTGACCTGCACTTGATAAATGTGGACAAAATATCAGAAAATTGACTATTAAACAAAACCACAAGAAAAATATAGATTTCAGATAAAAACAGACTGTACTATGCAAAAGGTTAGTTTGAAAAATATTGAAGCCCTCTTGTATGTTGTATGGAATGTAGCTATATTTAGATGTAGAGATCTAACAAATTGTCACTAACCGTTTGAAAAGAGAAGTCGGCTGCAGGGTACATTACACATCAACATGTCATCAAAGTGATGATACCATGACATTTCTCATCATGAGAAAGATCTTGCATCAAATACTACCAATATTAAGACTGACTGACTAACTGAGTTTGGTTTTACGCTGCTTTTAGCAATATTCCAGCAACATCACGGCAGGGGACACCAGAAATGGGCTTCACACATTGTGCCCATGTGGGGATTCGAACCCGGGTCTTTGGCGTACCAATATTAAGGAAGTAAACTAGTAGGTACAATTATATTGTTGGAAGAATGGGATACAATTTTGCTGTGACAAAGTTTGATTTCATTGAGTTTGATGAATCATTGAATGATAAAACAGTCAATATGTTTGTTTTGTGCTGATGTCAGCATTCTTCAAGTTATATGATAACAGTACATAATGTCATCAAGGCAAACTAGTGACAGATAATATGAGCACCAATCAACTCCCTCAGGGCACCGTGACCTACACACTTCCAAGTACAAACAAATAACTTGAAAGCAATTTCATTTGCATGAAACCTAAGTGATTTCTTGCATGTCTTCTCAGAGACAGCTTTTTTATCAATGATTACATAACCAGCCTGTGAAGATATCATATTATTAGCATAACTATTTATCAGAATTTACTTAGAAATAAGTTCGTACTTATGGTATCATAAATGTTAACACCTGCTTGTATACTTTGTGTAAGTTCGGTGTGTGAATTCACACAGTGAGCACACTTGTCTTGACGCTTATACCACCATAAACATATTGGATACTAATAAACTTCCAAAATAAATCTTAACCAATTCATCTGAGTTGATTCATTCAATTTTACATAATACAATTCTTCCAGTGGAAATAACAAAACTTAAGTGAGTGATTGAGTTGAGTTCTATGCGGCTTTTAGTAATATTCCAGCAACATCACAGAGGGCAACACCAGAATGAACAAATCTTAAGCAAGTGTTCCGTAAAGCATCTGAGATAACTAGATAAAGCTTATGTTGATCTGTAACTATATCTAGACACTACATCGCTTTCACCTTGGAATGGATGAATGTGAAAATCACTGCTCCCCATAACCTCTAGTGATAAGGTGAGAGATTATTAAATGGTTATGGAAGAACTCAGAATGTAAGAAACAAATAAATCTCTTAAAATTTAGGAATGAACTTTTTTGGATGCTCCTGGAATGAACATTTTCCTCAACTTGGCTACACAGTGACAAGACCAACAGATCTCAACATCACTGAAACTGGAGAAAAAGTGACTACTGAATTATTTAGTCTATATGACTCGTTTGATCAAATGTGTGAAATGGAAATAGTAAGAGATTTCATCAACAGTGTAAGAAACAGTGAATAACATGCATACAATCTTGTACTGTAACAAACAAAATCAATTGCATTTGGGTAGATTCACTACCTTGCCACACTAAAATTGGTTTGTTTCTTATTCATTAGTTGCAGAAGTAATCAGGGAGTTGACACACTGTAATTTGTTTTTTTAAGACTTCTCACATAGCCCCAAACCCTTGTTACATACAAACCGTTTGTAAACCAACTAAAAAATACAGAATTGTGGAACCTCTCATAACCTTGGCTACGATGGATGACATGGTAACAGAAAATCATTGGAAAGGCATACTGCCAATGTTTGAAATAAAGAAAAAGTGCAAGAATACCATCGGGACCCACAGACATTAGACTGTAGGCCCTGACCAAACTTTTAATACCCTCATTTTTTTTTTTTAAATGCTGCTGATTGTGACAAATAAATCTACATGTATGTTTGCTGCAGACCATATGGATCCACACAAATTTGAGACTACCTGACAAGAAATCTACCTACCATTGGATTATGAGAAGATGCTCGCTTTGAACACTGCATACAGATAAGAATGGTCTTCTGCTGCCTTTAGCACTGGCATACTTTCATGGCTGATGACAACAAGAACTCACAGTTGAACCCAAGTGGGGTGAAACCAGAATCTGTTGTCAACAAACATTCTATCTACTGTGCCAGCAGCTAGCACATGACTTCAGCGGATGAACTGACAGAATGAGCAGCTTAATCAAGACCATTGCACAGCCAGTACACTTTCACGTTTTGAACTTTAATTACAGTTGTCAGAGTGATCAAAACAATTATCAACAATTAACACTTCTGTGTACATATAGCAGAACAACTTCATATAATGTCTTTATCATGAGTAACTGTAACTTATTATCTGACAAAAACTTATCCAATATATGAAAATGATCTTGAATCATGTACTATCATCTTACAACTAGATCTGATATCAAACTTGGGAGATGTTAAGAAACGGAGAAAGTTATGCATTTTAAAAAATGTACTCACTCTGCTACGACAATGAAAAGTAATGGAACACAAAAATGAGAGACAAAGAATATACATGAATGAACATTATCCAAAGCATTCCTCCCCTTGTTAATCTGAAGCTGTGGGAGAGAAGTCTGATGTTCAAGGCTTTGGGTCAGAAGCCATTGAGCACAGTGAGGTACCCAGGACAAATTATGTTATGAAGTTATCAGAGGGCTGAATGAAATGACAACAATGATGTAACTATTACTAGCAATAAAGAAAGGCACTTGTTCTACCCTTTCTGAACACAACTGTCATTTGTGCAGTGATTACAGCAAAGGGAGATAACTACAATCACCTACTGACTTATCTCCCTTCTTCAACTACCAGGTAGTTTCTGTGCTGTTTCTTTTCAGTCAACACTGTACTTTCTGATCAGCGTGTCATCTAGTTCTCTGAATATATCCATCTGCTGTTATTTTGGATATACCAAAATAACATTAAGGTGATACCAAAGAAAAAAAATCAAAAATAGTACCTTGGTCCATGAAGAGGTGGGCCCAAGCCAGATATCATACTTTGTATGATCGTATATAAAAATCTATATGTTCATAAAATTGACTCTAAATATATACAAGTGATAAAAAATATTTCATAAAATTTAAACACTGTACAATTTGAATAATAAACAAAAAAAACTTCTAAAACAATGAATTGATATGGGGGAAATCTAACATGGCAGATGTGGTTTACGTTGTCTGCCATGGGTGATTGCATCGAATGTGGCTGCACTGCAGCATCTGATTAAGCGTATCATTGGTTACAAATATATCTGCATGCACCAATCAAATCATAGATGGCATTCCTCTACAGTCATGTATTATGCAGCAAGATTCCTGCTGGCCTAGTCTATTGTTTCTTTTAGGGGTGACAGGGTGACATCACATGTCTTCTGTATCTCTGTAGTCAGGTTCCGTGGCTATAAAGTAGTCATCGAAAAAGTCATGCAGGTAGGCGAAAGTCGGTCGATCCTCGGGTTTTCTGTTCCAGCACTTGAGCATGTGGTCGTAGTAGGACTCTGTGTAGCTGATTGGTCCGGTGGGTTTGGGCATACGGTAGCCTTTGTCCACCTTGTGCAGCACCTCTGAGCCTCCCATACCTATAACAGACACACACTTGTAGTGCTAGTATACCTAGAAAGTCATCAGTACTATATCCATGCAGTCTCATTACTATCAGATCTTAGCACTGCCTGGGCTACACAAACAACTGAAGACATTCCACTACAGGTCAGTCAGAATGGCCTTGACTGACCAATGAAATGCCTAATGGGGTTTACATTCAGCCAATCAGAAATCAGCTTTTTTCAGGTCTTATAGCAACTTACATTCTTGGCTACCCTTTCAAAAATATTTTGACAAAGTTCTCCATTCAAAATCAGAAAACTGTACCAAACAAATTGTTGGATTAAGAGATGGCCAAGATAGTATGTAGCTCTTCCTTCGGGTTATGGAAGGTCGCATCAGTTTAAATGTCTAGTGGAATCAGCCCTACATTCAAAAAGCCACATGTTAACATTTTCACGGTCACATGATTAAAAAACACATCCAGACTCAAAAGCAGTAGTCTGCTGGGATGGAGTCCGAGGAAGTGTACCTATTGTCTGAAGGAAAAGCCACCACAGACAACTGACGACACAGGCATGATACAAACTGCTGCTGTTTGGTGAACTGTGAGGACGGACTGCGCACTACATATTTCTACTCAGACGTCTTGGGTGAACTGAGAGGACAGACTGCGCACTACATATTTCTACTCAGACGTCTTGGGTGAACTGTGAGGACAGACTGCGCACTACATATTTCTACTCAGACGTCTTGGGTGAACTGTGGGGACAGACTGCGCACTACATATTTCTACTCAGACGTCTTTGGGTGAACTGTGGGGACAGATCATGACTACATATTTCTACTCAGACGCCTTGGGTGAACTGTGAGGACAGACTGCGCACTACATATTTCTACTCAGACGTCTTGGGTGAACTGAGAGGACAGACTGCGCACTACATATTTCTACTCAGACGTCTTGGGTGAACTGAGAGGACAGACTGCGCACTACATATTTCTACTCAGACGCCTTGGGTGAACTGAGAGGACAGAGCAGGAGGCGTCTTGGGTGAACTGGACAGACTGCTGACTACATATTTCTACTCAGGCGCCTTGGGTGAACTCGAGAGGACAGACTGGCGCACTACATATTTCTACTCAGACGTCTTGGGTGAACTGTGAGGACAGACTGCGCACTACATATTTCTACTCAGACGTCTTGGGTGAACTGTGAGGACAGACTGCGCATTACATATTTCTACTCAGACGTCTTGGGTGAACTGTGAGGACAGACTCGCGACTACATATTTCTACTCAGACGTCTTGGGTGAACTGTGAGGACAGACTGAGCATTACATATTTCTACTCAGACGTCTTGGGTGAACTGTGAGGACAGACTGCGCACTACATATTTCTACTCAGACGTCTTGGGTGAACTGTGAGGACAGACTGCGCACTACATATTTCTACTCAGACGTCTTGGGTGAACTGTGAGGACAGACTGCGCACTACATATTTCTACTCAGACGTCTTGGGTGAACTGAGAGGACAGACTGCGCACTACATATTTCTACTCAGACGTCTTGGGTGAACTGTGAGGACAGACTGCGCACTACATATTTCTACTCAGACGTCTTGGGTGAACTGTGAGGACAGACTGCGCACTACATATTTCTACTCAGACGTCTTGGGTGAACTGTGAGGACAGACTGCGCACTACATATTTCTACTCAGACATCTTGGGTGAACTGTGAGGACAGACTGCACACTTCTACTTGGGCCTGATAGGTGAACTAACAGAACACTCACCAGGGTAGGGAACTCTCCCGAAGGTAACCAGCTCGTACAGGAGAACGCCGAATGACCAGACGTCGGACTTGACAGAGAACTTCCTTTCCAGAGCTGCCTCAGGAGCTGTCCACTTGATGGGGAATTTCGTATCTGTAAAACATGTCACCAAATCTTCATATGCCCTCCTAACTTAGTGATAATCATGGGTTATGGAATTGAGCTTCAGTAACCCATGCTTGTCGTAAGAGGCTACTAACGAGATCAGGTGGTCAGGCTCGCTGACTTTGTTGACACATGTCATTGTATCCCAATTGCATAGATCAATGCTGGATTGTCTGGTCCAGACTCGATTATTTACATATAGCTGGAGTATTGCTGAGTGTGGCATATAACTAAACTCACTCACTCACTTAGTGATAATAAATTAAGAATATGTAATGTCACTAAGTGTTTACCTTAAGGATGCTGGTGAAAATTCCAGATTGAGTTACTAAAATGAATCTGTCAGTAAGTCCTCATCAAAAGCATCCTCAAAACTGCACTATGAAATTGAATGTATATTATAACAATGCTTGTATTGCCTACTTACTTTCTGTGGCTTCATAAATATCCTCATCTTGCAGAATTCTCGCCAGACCGAAGTCGGCAACCTTGACTTCATGGTGTTCACCGACAAGGATATTGGCTGCACGGAGATCACGGTGAACAAAGTTCTCAGCTTCCAAGAAGGCCATGCCCTCTGCAATCTGATCAACAAACAAGAGAATGGCATTATTAAAATGAGGTGAGGTGAGGTGAAATTGGGTTTAATGTCATGCTTGAGAATATTTTGCTCATATGACGACGTGCATGCATGTGTATGTGTATGTGCGGCTGCTTGTACTAGCCCAGACTTAAGCTGGTTTTATAGTGCTAGCCCACTGAGATACCATGCCGCAGTGAAGCATGAATACCCCACTCAGACACATTATACTGACTCCGAGACGATCAGTCCTTGTTGTACCCATTAATGCCGAGCGCCAGGCAGGGACCAACAAGTACCATATTTTAACATCTTTTGGTATGACGCGGTCGGGGATCGAACTCGCGACCTTCTGCTCTCCGGGCGGACGCTCTAACCACTACACCACGGAGGCGGTCATTATTAAAATGAAAATTTGCACAACGGAATCATATTCCAGCAAGTTTGGTAGGATGCAGCAGTGAACAGTATTTCAGTTATATTATGTGACATACCATAAAAGCCTGAATTGAAACAGGGTACTGATGTTTTTAGACAGATTCTAACCGATAGTCATTGATTGGCATGATTCTGGGAAGTAACATTTGCACTGGAAATGAGAGTCTACCCAATAATATTATATAAAACAGTTAAACAATAAGTCGGCTTTCCATTGGCAGACAACGGCTTCAAAAACCTTGGCATGACTTTGTCATTTTTCAGCAAGCTATGATGGTATTGTAAACATTTATGCAGAAATGCCTTCCAGTGCTTGCTGTTCAGTATTACACCATCATTCAACTGATGTTTTGTGTGTCCTACTGTGAGAACAGATCCAAACAATGGAACAATGCATCAGACGAGGACACATGTGAGTATGTTGCACAAACAAAAAGACACGGTGTCATTATTCCAAAACCAATTGCCATCGCCCAGGCACCACTGGGCAGACCCAATTAGTCAACAGTTTATATTAACAAGCATTGTCACTAAGGTGACATAATCCCCGCCACAAGAAATTATCAAATCAAACTTAAAAGTAATGAAAGTGAAGGTAAGTAATTTAAGATGAAGTTAAATGTAAACAAAAACATGACCAGTCAACCTTTCTTGATATCTTGCTCTGTAGTTGTTCAAACGCACAAATATTTTCAAGACTCACTTTGACCTTGACATGAATGTCTTAGTGTATGAAATATGCAAAAATAGTAATAAAGAAATTGCTTATTGAAAAACATTCAAGAGAAGTCTTGAAAGTCTATGAAGAAAATGCAGTGAACTGTTCTTAAGATATCTCGCTGACCATCTTAACATGCAGTTTAACATGCTGAAATCTTCAAAGTGTCGTCGTGACCTTGAAAGTTATGTGAAGGTCACAAAAACCGACTGGGCTCTGCGCCTGCCCTATATAAAGCTTGGTGTTGAATATCAAGAAAATCCAGTGAAGGGTTCTTGAGATATCTTGCTGACAAGGGTAAAACGTTAAAGTCCCCTTGTGACCTTGAAATGAAGGTCAAGGTCACCAAACCTGACTGGGACCTTTCTTTTATTATGATGAACCTAGATACCAAATATGAAAGAATCCAGTCAACTGTTCTTAAGATACTGCAATTCGTACGTACGGACGGAGCCTAATACTATATCCCCCCGATTCGCGCTAAACACGTGGCGGGGGATAAAAAGGTAATAATGTAAGATAACTAGGTTTAGGGGTAAAGCTACTTGTGTAGATCGTTACTTCCTCCCACCTGTGATGCCATGTCAATGATGGTGGGGAAGCGCATCCGCTGGCCCTCATCCTTCCTGATGTAGTCCAGTAGGGCGCCGTTTGTCATCAGCTCTGTCATGATGAGAATGGGCTCCTCATCTGTACAGACAGCTATCAGCTGGACCAGCTTCCTGTGACGCAGCTGGTGCATGATCTTCGCCTCTGCCAAGAAGGCTTCCGCGGTCATGGTGCCTGGTTTTAGGGTCTTCACAGCCACATCGATCACATTCGAGTTTACCTGAAACAAAGAGGTATGTTCCTGTTGGTGACTTTTCTTTATTGATATGTTATGTTTGAATTGTTTCAGGATTCAAACCCATGTCTCCTACATATCGAAAGCAAACACATTAGCTACTGGGCTGCAGCATCTATACAATCAAAGGGTAAATTCATTATTGTGACATACAAAAACAGGTATTTCTTGAAGTTATTGAATATTAGTTGATAATTATCAACTTTCCTTGCACAAATGTGTGTTTAATAAACTGAACAACTAAGTGCCGAAATGACAGTTGATGGACAATGAAGTAGAGTTCAATACAGGCCATACAATTGTGCCACTGGTGCATTCAGGTTGCAATTAATCACAATCTAAATGAATAAAGGGAGAATTCTGAAATGGAAAGCACTCCACTAAGTAACCACATGAAAACTCCAATTGATAGACTCACACATACAACTCCAATGCATATATACTATGTTAAACAGGGTTAGATCACTACCTATGTGGCTCATGATATTTACACACAACGGTAATAGTTGCAACAAAGCAAGCTCCTGACTTCAAACCCTGTAACACCTACCCTTCCATACTTCGCCGAAACAGCCAGCTCCAAGCTTGATAGTCATTTTTAGTGAATCTCGGGTAACTTCCAGCTCCCGGAAATGAACAATTGGTCGGATCCTTGGACAAGCCTCTGCTAGCACTGTGCACAGCCCATCGGTGCTTTCTGAAAGTCATTAATCAAGAAACTACTGACGATAATTGAGGAAACAGGAAACAAAGTCACTAAATAGCCAATTGCCTCAAAGACTTTGTCTTGGTTGACGGTTTTCACCTCATAATGTGCATCCATGAAGATTCGAAGATCTTCAGCAACCCATGATTGTCATAAGGTGACACATGTTATCGTGATCCCAGTTGTGTAGATCAACGCTCATGCTGTTGAACACTGGATTGTCTGGTCCAGACCCAATTATTTACATACTGTCCCCATATAGCAGTGTTAAACAACAAACAAACAAAAATCATAAAATGCATACAAGCGTGGGTCAAGGCTAATATGACGTACTGAGGAAATGGGGAACAATGAGTGAGCGAGTTTAGTTTTACTCCGCACTCAGCAATATTCCAGCTCTTATTACTTACAGGCCGCCATAGAGCTAGAATATTGCTGAGTGCAGCCTTAAACAACAAACCAACCAATCAACATAGCTCTAGGGGTGTTGAGAGTATGTTACACACCTACAAATGTTTTTCTAACCCATACCTAAAATGGGGGATCAATAAATTCTGCAAAAAAATTAAAATGTTCAAGTGTCTGTCTTTATGCGTCATAAGTCTTTGAACGTCCTTTAGACGTGATACACATAAAGGCAAGAGTTTATGGATGTCAACTTCTTTATTGTGAGAATCGCAACTTGTCAGAGTATATTCTTACTACTTCATCAAGTGAATATACTCCGAAACGTCATGATCCTCACTATAAAGAAGTTGACATCCACAAATTCTCTCCTTTATGTCTAATGCTGCTACTGACAAAACTGAACAAACACTATTGGACATAGAACAGTCTTGCTTTCGACACAAGAAAAACTCAAACAAAACATTAATTCTGCATAAGTATATCAATCAAAATTAAACAGAATTTGAAACATGTCCCGTGACCAACACAAACAGTAGGACTCATAGCTAAAGTAAGAACATCAGATTGTGCATCAGATTGTGGTAAGTTACTATTAGTGAGTGAGTGAGTTAAAATTTAACATCACATCGGCAATATCTCAGCCATATCGTGACGAGAACAATTTAATTGATATCAATATCAAAGTCAATAAATTGAGAATATAACAACCTGTCAGTGAAGGACAGTAAAACTACTAGAATATCAAAGCTCTTAATTTAAAACTAGCACACTATCATAAAAATATATCACTATACACAATAACGCAATATGAAAACAGGCTAGTGATCGCCAACAACTGAAGGTAGATCACCATACCAGGGACCATGGGGACTTACATTGCTTTTGCTACCTGCATGGACCCTTGTTGGATTTACACCATCCCTTCAGCCATTGGCGTTGATGCTGAGATTTAGCCATACATTAAAAATACAAAAATACTACGATTAAAAACCTGGTACACTTAAATTGACTTGAAATGTTTTGGGACTTACGTAGGAAAGTTACTATTAAAGGTAGGGCATGGGAATGGTTGCAACTTACTTCTGTAGTGATCTATCAGATCAAGCATGTTTGTGAATGTCCTCTTTGGGCTAATGTAGAAGCCACCACTATCCAGCTTGCGTATTCTGTAATGTTTGACACATGGTTCGTTGGCCTTGTCGTGGTCTCGAACCGACAGCACATGGGAAGATTTGTCTGGAAGAGAGGACAGAGTATTCAAGGAACAGACGGGGGAATATGGAGCACATAAAACTCCTGACGCTGAAAAGGGATTACCTCCCTTTAGCACTGTGGTAACCATGTCAAGAAGGAAGAAAAACAAATGGCCATGTTTCACTCTCAAAATCTTTCACACAAGAAATCTTCAAAATTTCCAGATTTGTTAAAAATCAGTCTAATGTGTCAAACTTATGTTTCACTTAATCTACAGAGTGAGGATTCAAGTTAAGACTAGGTTCCCAGTAACTTAAGAGGTGATCAAATGGATCAGGCAGTCAGGATTAACGTCTTGGTTCATAGTGTCATCATAAACCAACAAATTTGTACGTCATGTAACTGTGCCTTCAAACCGGTGGTTCAAAAGAGTGAGTGAGTATGATTTTACGCCACTTATTATATTTCAGCAATATTTCAGCGATAAGACAGCAGGGGAATCAGAAAATGGCTTCTCATACAAAATCAAATCGAGTATAAAAAGGTCTCAATGTTCACAAGAAACGGACAGTTTAACTTGAGGTGTTCCTTCCTCGTCAGATAGTGTCGTAGCAGGGATGCTACATATACTCAGACCCTGCCATGATATTGCTGGAATATTGCTAAAAGCAGTGTAAAACTAAACTCACTCACTCATATACTCAGATCACTTAGTATTCTTGACGACCCCTTTAAACACAAGGCTACACCTTGACCACAAGAAACAAACAGTTTAACTTCAATAGTAACTTCAAGTACAGCTTTATAGCAAAAAATGCTTACTCCACATTCAATCAAATTACTCTGTGTTAATACATAATTATAACAGTGACTTGTACAACAACTTGACAGTGGCATCAGGCAATGGTATTATAACACCCAAATATCTCTGTCACAGCAAACACACTCTATGTGAATCCTCACCTGTAGACTCTCTGACCAGAAATGTGCCGACCTTGTTACCCGGAAGAAGCAACATCTTATCGGAGTCTTTGCGGTCAAAATTGAACCACCAACTATAAAAGCAGAAAAACAACACTGAAATATCCCGGTACCATTTTAAAGAAATTAAAACAAGACCCAATTACATTTCCCTTTCATAAAGAGGATCTAAATGTAAAGGATATATGCCGTATATGGGACTCCAGTGCTCGCTCAACCATCCGCTTAGGCGAAAAGGGAGAGAGTGACAAGTAAGGCTTGTCACATGACTGTTTGCACGGGAAAAGGGAGGTAACTCGTGGGTGAGTGTACTTTAACATACGCTTTAGGGAACTACAAAGGATTCAAGTGTTCCACTAACATTCGCATAGAAGAGTGAGATAAGCAAAGATCATGAGTCAGGATAAGGAAAAATATGTATTTTCAACACAAATTGCATCAAATACACAAAATGGAATAACTTACTCTTGAGCCTGTGGTGAGTCATCGTCCTTGCAGACATAGTTGCTGGGGATGTAGCCCTGATGCCCCGTCTTCACGCTGGTAGCTATCCACCAGTCACTGTTCTGACTGAAACAATACTTAACAAATTAGTTGATGTCACACGTTATGTGAATACATCACTGAGTTTATGATTTCAATCTTTCTCCACATCAATGTTGAGAGTGAACGAGTGAGGTAATGCAGAGTGAGGTACTGGGAAGGATTGTTATTCTCCTCCCATTGTCAAATGTCAACAATATCTTGCCCAAAGCATAATATATTATCTGTTTGATTGGCATTTTCTATTTTCTAGCATAATATATCGTCAAATTTCTTTTGTGAATATCTTAAAAACAATTCAATTCAGAATCTAGTGGAATGTATTTTGTCATTTAGATCCAATCATTATTGAAATGGAAAATGATGCATTCATGGGATGAGTAATAGATCATAGATCATAATAGAAGGGAGATCATGCACATCAGTCACATGTCTAAGGGAGACAACTCAATATGGTGCATGGTAGTGCTGTAAACCACTGGTAATAGATGCTACTTCATGAGATACACAAGATAAGTAAAAGGGGAAAGGGAGATAACATGGATAAGTCTCAGGTAAGTTGTTTTCGTAACTCACCTGGTTTCATCAATCTCCAGACGATCTCCCTTCTTGAAAGACAGGTCATCCTCATTTATACCGTCAAAATCGTACATAGCCAGGAATTTGAACACCTCTGTAAATTGGATAAAACAAATGATAAGTTTTTCATACTCTGATTAGTTAAAGGATTCAAGTATAACAATTTCAAGTGACTTTTAAGGTTTCTAAGGTTAAAGATTTTTGGTCAAGAATGACTGGACATTACACTTCTGAAACAATTTTGAGGTTATTATGACGTGCTTATTGCAGGAAATCCATCATGGACAATGTTATCAAGTTCATTTTCACATAAAAATTATTGCGATCAGCATTCATGTCTCACTTTTTGAAGCTGGCAGCGGCGGGAGATCCCGCTTGTTGAAGCCCACGGTGACATCTTGAGGGCTGGTTGGCGGACTGCTGTGATCTAGATTACCGCCATTCAGTTGGTTGATGGAGGGCGGCAGCTTGCCCACATCCTCCTTCCTGGATAAACAGTTTCCCATTTCTCCTGTAGGAGGCTAGCTTCACCTGAAACAGAGTCACGGGTATGAGTCCAGGGTGTAGGGCATGATGCAAATCTCTGTTGTTTGAGTCAAGGCTTTATTGTGTGAGTCAAGAAATTATTTAGACTAATGCTTAGTCTCTTAATGTAAAATTTTGATTGTAACAAATAAACCCATTTAAATTGAAAAGGAGTCCATGGCATACCAGAGACTCAGAACCTGGGAAAATCTAGACTTGCTTCATTTAGGGGATTTAGCACTGCAGGGACTGTGAGACAGACTAGGCATTATTGTGTGAGTCAAGGAAGACTTTATTGTGTGAGTGAAGGCTGTGGTGTGTGAGTCAAGGTTGTGGTGTGTGAGTCAAGGCTGTGGTGTGTGAGTCAAGACTTTATTGTGTGAGTGAAGGCTGTAAAGTATGTCATGGTTTTTGTTGCAAGTTACAGTTATGTTGTGTGAGTCAATGGTGATTAGTGTGAGACATTGTTGAACAGTGTAAGTCCATGTTGAGTCATGACAGTCAAGACTGAATTGTGGGCGACAAGGTTGAGTTGTGTGAGCCATTGCTTCATTGAGTGAGTCAAGGTTGAAATGTCAGTCAAGGTTGAGTTGTGTGAGGCAAAATTGAGTTGTGTCAGTCAAGGTTATATTATGTGAGGCAAAGTTTTGTTGAGTGAGTCCAGACTGATGTGAGTGAGTGAGTGTGTGAGTGAGTGAGAAAAAGAAAAAGTGAGTGAGTGAGTTTAGTTTTACGCCGCACTCAGCAATATTCCAGCTATATGGCGGCGGTCTGTAAATAATCAAGTCTGGAACAGACAATCCAGTGATCAACAACATGAACATCAATCTGCGCAATTGGGAACCGATGACATGTGTCAACCAAGTCAGCGAGCCTGACCATCCGATCCCGTTAGTCGCCTCTTACGACAAGCATGGGTTACTGAAGGTTCATTCTAAGCCGGACCTTCACGGGTGAAAAAAGAAAAAGGGCTTCACACAGTGTACCCGTGTGGGGAATCGAACCGAGGTCTTCGGCGTGACGAGTGACCACTTTAACCACTGGGCTACCCCCCACCCCAATTTCTTTACAGTATGGAGTTAATCATGTGGACTGATAGGTAAAATGATGCAAATAACTGCTCTGAAAGAAACAACAAAAGTCATAGATGTGTTGTGGGTACAAAGAATAATATTATGCGTCCTTCTGGATGCAGTGAATCTTTTTCTGCGTCCATTCTCTACATTTGTGCATACTGGACACCCATTTGCATGTCACGTGAAAACCCTGCTAAGACTGACTGAGTTTGGTTTTACGCTGCTTTTTAGCAATATTCCAGCAACATCACGGCGGGGAACATCAGAAATGGGCTTCACACATTGTACCCATGTGGGGATTTCAAACCCGGGTCTTCGGAGTGACGAGCCAACGCTTTAACCACTAGGCTACCCTTTAAGAGCAGAAAGACCACACAAAAAGAACAGACTAATTCACAATTCGATATATACACTGTTTATATGCTCTTGTGTAGTTATGTGTGTCCAGTAACAGACAAGACTCACGCAGTTTTGAGCAATCATAAACAAAAGGACCTCTACAGTCTCTAGCTAAATGTCTCAATATATTACCCAGGTAGTATGTGGTCTGTATGTGCAAATGAATCAAACATTCTGCTGTTGTAGGAGCCAGAGAAAAGGGTATGAAATATGCTGAAAATATATCCAATAGGCTCAGTAATCCCACTCCTTCGAACCTCTTATAATGAACAGTTATAACAAACACACATAACAAATGGACACATATAGCTTTTTTCCTTTTGACTTGCTATATGCTTTAGTCGAAACGACTATAATGAAATACAGAAATAACAAACTCAAATTAGTGGTAACTTGGAGTATGTTATAACCCCGTTATTACCTCAAATTAGTGGTAACTTGGAGTATGTTATAACCACGTTATTACCTCAAATTAGTGGTAACTTGGAGTATGTTATAACAGCGGTTTACTGTAGTGTGTGTCCGACTGATTGTTTACATAAAAACGTGTCGAGTCAAATCATTTACAATTAGACTGACTAAATGATCACAATGGGCTACCACCCATCATGATAAGAGTCTTTACTATTCAGTACCTTACATTTTCCTTTCTTTAGGTTGTTCAGAAACTAATTTTTCAGCATTTAATGTTCAGTCATCTTCTGTCTTATCTTAAAGAAACTCTGATAATGAGCAATTACCACTATTATTAGCATTAATTTAATTTTAATGCTTGGGATTTACCTCCTCACTACCAGATATGTGTCCTGAAAATCATGCCGTGCTATTAACAGTGGTCAGATTGTACTGCCACATTTAAGCTGTGGGATAATATTTCAATTACAGTTATCAACGCGGTCATATAATCTGTTCACTATTGAAAATGTTCTAAATGTCGCAATTTAAAGTGTATTCAACTGCTAAGCATTGCAATAAGAAATTATCTATTGGGAATTAAAGGATTTATCAGCAATAAACCCACAATAAAACTCTGTGTAAAAACATCTAATTCATCAAATATTGAGAAAATTAAAAAATCAATTTCACAAATGTATGAAGTGACAAAAATACCTGCAGCGTTAGCACCCAAGGTGGTACAAATTGTCTTGTCAACACTGGTAACAAAATGGGCAGGCTATGTGTATTTGCTTACAGCGAAAGAAGACAACAAACATTTGACAACAGCGTAGGTGATGGAGTTGAGGGAGATGCTGCTGCTGACGGGGGATATATGGAGGCGAGACGGGCCAGGACATTGGACCACATCATGTGACTACACACACTAACACGAAGGCGACACATTTTACACCATACAGGTGTCCTTCCACACTAAAACATGTGAACCGTGTTGATGGACCATGAGTAATGGCCTATTACGTCCAAAGGTCCTTTCATACGTGTAGCTCCTGTTGCGTAAACTAAAACATCTAACAGAATAAACAGTTTAGCTCTGACTCAACACGTTTTTAAACAATGATTGCTAATGGGATACAATCCTCCTTAAACATATAAAAAAAAAGTATTTTCAGATATCCAGAAGTCGTGTTTGTTATTTAACACAAGGATAAACTGTCTATTCCTCATAATGGTAACCTATTAGAATCACTTCACTAATCAGACAGTGACTGACTGAGTTTAGTTTTACGCTGCTTTTAGCAATATTCCAGCAATATCACGGCGGGGGACACCAGAAATGGGCTTAACACATTGTGCCCATGTGGGGAATCGAACCCGGGTCTTCGGCGTGACGAGCCAACGCTTTAACCACTAGGCTACCCCACCGCCCCAATCAGACAGTGAAGTGCTAATATCTTGGTGTACTGAAGCTTCAGTTCACCTTGCAAGCTTCAGACATTTTAGATATATATTAATTCTATTTAAATTATATATAAATGGAATTGAAAATTAAAATCTAATTAGTAATGTTTGTGAATTTTATGAAGGTTAAGATTATTTTTCTTCCTTGTTTAAGTAGTATGGCAGTTTGAAAGGGACACTTGTGGATTTGAGTAATAAATAAATATGTTATATGACATATAAAGCTGCATGTTCATAGTTCACTATTTATTATTTACTGTGAAAATTCATCCACAAAGGATTATGGAACATGGCTCACAAATGGCCTTCCTCCTCTAGAGCATAGCTTTGCTGAGTGTCTGGTCTAAACTGCAAAAAACAGTTCAGGATGGATCAGAAATGAAAAACAATGTCATAAAAGCCTGACAATGCATGGGGCGACCTGAAATAAAAACAGGAAATTACTTTCAAGAGCTACAACTGCCATCACTTCACACCGAGTGACATCCGGATGACGGAGACAGTTGACAGGAGGGATCGAGCAACATCAGTTGTGTCAAGCACACAATTTGGTGAAAATGTTGTTCGTCATGATACATGGAATTACATATTAGCTACAGTCACATGGAAACATGGAGAGTTCTTCTGAGCAGGACAAGTCTACATTCTTATATATGGCATGCATTTAATTGGTAAATAAAGCAAGTAAAGAATATGGGGATGAAAAGTAGAAAAAGGCTAAACTGTTAAATTAACAAAGTGTTTTCATTTTCCTTCATGTATATTTGTACACAAGCAGCTTGTAAGGGAACCAGGTTATGGTGATTTATTGGGTGTATTTAACACAAATACTCAACTTATCTGGAGATCTGAATAAATAACTCCTGGACAATCACATGTAACTTGGGCATCTGCCAAGTGGACAGGGTAGAAGTCGAACACTGATAATACTCATTTATTCCCAAGCTTTTTATACATGCACATTTCACATAAAATGAATGCTTAAAAGCTGTTATATAAATGCCCAAAAGTTATGTCATTAATAATTTATCCAGTGAAGTTTTTGCCGCGGTCACAGCCAACTCCATATAAACATGATACGGCAAAAGCAGTTCTTAATATTTGGGACAACAGTGGTCTGAACTAAATGTATGAGTAACCCCTGTTAGCCATCTTTAAAACTCATTTGACAACACCAAACCCTTGTAACCTGTAAGTTAGCTAATCACTGAGTCGTTGAGGCTTAGTCCCAGACTGACATTACTAACATTTACTGTATAATTCATTACAAGAACCAAACCTACACCTGAGTAGACTAAATATCCAATATACTGCCATCTGTGTACACAGTCACCCCTGTAAACCATTAGCCTTGTAAACCCTCAGCCTTGTGCACCCTTATTCTTTTCCGCCATCTATCTTGTACAACCTCAGCCTTGTACACTTTCAGGTTTGTACACAGTCACCCCTATACACCAGCCTTGTACACCATTAGGCTTGTAAACTCTCTTCCTTGAACACCCTATCTGATTTATATCGCTGCCCTTGTACACCATCAGCCTTGAAAACCCTCTTCCTTGAACACCCTATGTGATTTATAACGCTGCCCTTGTACACCATCAGCCTTGAACACCATCATCCTTGAACATTGTTAAGCCACACTGCTGACAACCTCAACACAGATCTCCACACAGG